CCATGTTTCCTTTCTGCTTGCTCGAAAATCGATACAAGCCCCACTGTGGCCAGTCTGACCACTGAGATGGAGCCTCCTTTTCTTTTCTAGGAGTGCTCGCCCTATGCAGCCCACCTCTATGATGCCGAGAACCCTCAGACACCCCTCCGGAACTTTCCTGGCCTCTGCTCAGACTACTGCTCTGCCTTCCATTCTAACTGCCACTCTGCCATCTCCCTGCTGACCAGTGACCATCGCCTCCAGGAGTCCCAGGGAAAGGATGGAGCCCACTTCTGCCACCTTGTCAACCTTCCTGACAAGGACTATTGCTTCCCCAACATCCTGAGGAATGACCATCTCATCCGCAACCTGGGTGTGGTGGCCGAGGACCAGAAGGGCTGCCTCCAGCTCTGCCTGACTGAGGTGGCCAATGGGCTGAGGAACCCCGTCTCCATGGTGCACGCTGGGGACGGCACCCATCGCTTCTTTGTAGCCGAGCAAGTAGGAGTGGTATGGGTCTACCTGCCTGACGGGAGTCGCCTGGAACAACCCTTCTTGGACCTCAAGAGCATTGTGTTGACCACTCCATGGATCGGGGATGAGAGAGGCTTCTTGGGGTTGGCTTTTCACCCTAAATTTCGCCACAACCGCAAGTTCTACATTTATTATTCATGTTTGGGCAAGAAGAAGGTAGAAAAGATCCGGGTTAGTGAGATGAAGGTTTCTCAGGCTGATCCCAACAAAGCTGACCCAAAATCAGAGAGGTGAGACATACCCCTGAGAATCTTTGTGTCTGCATCTGCACCCTAAATTAATGCCAATAAACCCCTTAGAGAGGATATAGGGGAACTTTACTGGTTTTAGAGCCACTAGCTTATAATATTGACAAAGGAGAGTCATTGTTGATTAATGAAGACAACCCAAGTTAGGCTCTTGAGTAAAAGGTCTTCGTGCTGTATAGCTATCACCTTATAAAACCAAACCAAACCTGTTGCCATCGAGTTGACTCCAACTCATAGTGACCCTATAGGACAGAGTAGAACTGCCCCATAGCGTTTCCAAGGAGCACATGGTGGATTCGGACTGCCCAACTTTCTGTTAGCAGATGTAGCTCTTAACCACTATGCCACCAGGGTTTCCATCACCTTATAGTTATCCTAATTAGAGCCCTGCTTGCTTGTCTTCGTGGTGGGATAAGCAAGGGCCAGCAGCTATAAGGAACTGAGAATTGATTATAGATAACATCAAAATACTATTTATAACAATATTAAATGTAAGTATGGTATTGTTGTTGCTGGTGTTAGCTGCCACTGAGTCAGCCCCCGAGTCATGGTGACCCCATACACAACGAGACGATATGCTGCGTGGTCCTGCGCCATCCCCATGATTGGTTGTGGATCGGACCATTGTGATCTATACGGTTTTCATTGGTTAGTTTTCAGGAGTACATCACCAGGCCTTTCTTTCTAGTCAGTCTTAGTCTAGACGCTCTACTGAAACCTGTTCAGCATCGTAGCGACACACAAGCGTCCACAGACAGATGGGCGGTGGCTTCGAGAGTTGCATTGGCAGGAAATGGAACCTAGGTCTCCCATGTGGAAGGCGAGAATTCTACCACTGAAACTCCAAACCCCCTCCATAAATATTCCATCTTTTTACACAAATAATGCATGCTTTCTATGTTTGTTTGCCAACCATTCCTTCCCCCGGCAAGGTATTTTCGTGTCGCTATACTAATTTTTTTACAGCTCCCTCCCCCCTCGAGGTAGTTTTGTAAGCCTGCTATACAACTTTTTTTTACAGCAACATGTAAAAAAAAAATTGGCATAGGGATGCTTAGGAAAATACCTCTCAGGGGGAGGGAGCAGTTGGCAAACAAATGCAGAAGGTGCACATTATTTGCATAAAAATACGGTAATGTTGTTATTGGGTGCCATCAAGTCGGTTCTGACTCACAGCAACCCCACGTGACAGAGTAGAACTGCCCCATAGAGTTTTCTTGGCTGTAATCTTTATGGAAGCAGATCCCCAGGTCTTTCTCCTGTAGAGCCTCTGGGTGAGTTTGAACTGCTAACCTTTGGTTAGCAGCTGAGCACTTAACCGTTTGTGCCACTAGAGCTTCTTATAAATATAATAACCTGACCAAACCCGTTGCCATCAAGTCAATGCTGACTCATAGCAACCATGTAGTACAGAGTAGAACTGCTTCACAGGGTTTCCAAGGAGTGGCTGGTGGATTCGAACTGCCGATCTTTTGGTTAGCAGCCGTGCTCTTAAGCACTGTACCACCAGGGCTCCATAAATATAAATGTAAGTATAAATATAAAAACTCAACCCATTGCTGTCGAGTCGATTCCGACCCTAGTGACCCTTTAGGACAGAGTAGAACTGCTAAATATAGCAGCTGCCAATTGTTGTGTGGCCATTAGCTCTCAGACCCTTTACCTCAAATATGGGAATTCTCATCTTTCCGGGGAACCGTGGCACAAGGCCATAAAGCTATTGTGTCATAGTCAGACTAAGGACTCAGCTCATGCTCTTTCCACTCTCCCACCCTGCCTTCCCCCATCTCCTTCATGCCTTAGCTCTCTTTTCCTATGTGGACAGGATTTAAATGGGCATGAAGAACTGATAGACTAACCTCTCTGGGCTGTGCAAAGGAAGACATCAAGAGTTCTGATAGAGCAGAAAGTGAGGCCAAGCCCTGGGAAAGGGTGCTGTTCCCATGGCACTGTCTAAAGCCCACAGAGCCACCGTGCGAAAGAAGAATGATCAAGGAAGGAGTCACACAGGGAACAAGGGGCGTCTCATCTACCTGCATGGTGATCCTTGGAAACCCTGAAGCGGGCTTTGGCTAGCTTAGACCAGCCATTTCTGAGTGTCTCAAGAGGATGAAGTTTTAGCTTGTGTCAAAGCCTTGTGCGTGGCTTCTTTTTCTCTTCCAGGGTCATCTTGGAAATAGACGAACCAGCATCAAATCATAATGGTGGACAGCTCCTTTTTGGCCTGGATGGCTATATGTACATATTCACTGGGGATGGAGGACAGGCTGGGGACCCCTTTGGCAAGTTTGGAAATGCTCAGAACAAGTAAGTAGAATGGAGGCTGGGCCCCGGTCCCCTGAGGGTGAGCCCTTGGCACAACGTTTTTGCTGAGATGGAGTCTCTAGAGAGTCGAATCCAAATCACTTCCTACAGCATATCGTCCTCATTGCTGAGGCAGTGGGAGGAACATTTGGTTTTCTGTCCTATAAATTTCAGCTATAGTCAGTGTTGTTGGTAATTAATATTAGAAACACTCCATGTAACTCTCCGAGTGCTAAGATGAGAAGAATTCAGACTCCTAGTGACCTTATAGGACAAAGCAGAACTGCGTCATAGAGTTTCCTAGGCTGTACTATTTACAGGAACAGATTGTCAAGTCTTTTCTCCCAAAGAGACACTGATGAGTTCCAACCACTGACCTTTTGGTTAGCAGCTGAGTGCTTAACCGCTGCACCACGAGGGCTCCTTAGCACATATTAGCAAGACATTATTTGACACACGAAGACCCGATCATCCCATTCAGTTCAACTCAAGATTGTTATTGAGCACCTGTTGTGTTCCAGGCACTGTACTATGCCCTGGAGACACTTGAGAAGTTGAGTTAATAGTAGCTAATACGTCTTGGTTGCTCACTGCGTGCCGGCTGCAGTTTTCAATACTTTACATGTATTCAATCATGCAATTCTCACAACACACAAGGGGAAGAATTTTTATCTGTTTTGTTCACGGATACATCCCTATCACCTAGATGTCAGCACTAGGACGTCACTCAATATTTATGGAATGACCGAATCCTGTGAAGAGCAGGTATTATAATATTTATTTTACCGACAAGGAAACTGAAGCACGTAGGAGTAAGGTACTTTGTCCAAAGTCACACACAAATAAGTACAGAACCGGAATTGGAGCCTAGACGATCTGACAGCAGAGCCCAACGATGCTGTGTTGCCTAGATCGAGGTCAAAGGAACCTCTCTCTGCCCTTTGTACCCAGAAGGCAATTGGCTCCCTTATTCTTAGTAATAACAACACTAAAGTTAGTAACAATAATAAAAAGCTAACGTTTGCTGAATGTCTATTGTGTATTAGGAATTGCATTAAAAGCTATATACACAATAACTCATTTAGCCCTTATATCACCATCACACTTCAAAGCAGTGTTACTCTCCTGTTTATAAATGAGGAAACTGGGACCCAGAGACCCTAGTCATTGACAGAAAATCCTCCACTCTTTTTACTGACCACATTGCTATACGAGGAAGCACAGAACCAGCCTCTTGTAAAAATTCATAATATGAGATGAAATCTGAGAGAAAACCACCCTGTCATAAAACTGTAAATATTGAAGCTGCAGTTTGCCCAGGGTCACTGGGACAAAGATTGCATCAAACTTCTGCCTACTAGTTCTGCTGGAGCCAAAAATGGGGAAGTCTCCACATCTTTAAAAAACTGTTGTGTCTAGTCAATTCTGACTCATGGTGACCCATGTCTCAGAGTAGAACTGTGCTCTATAGCGTTTTCAATGACTGATTTTTTGGGGAGTAGATTGACAGGCCTTTCTTCTGAGGCATCTCTGGGTGGACTCGAACCACCCACCTTTTGGTTAGCAGCTGAGCATGCTGACCAGGGATTCCATCTTAACATCTTACGTATATTTAAAAGAAAAAAAAAAAAAGTCATCTCTCCATGGTATTCCCAGCAGTAGCTGCGCATTGACTATCAGTAGGCTCACCGGGGCAGTCCCCTCTGGTTCTGTGTCCTTACTTACCTGCCTGTTTCTTGACCTTCTTTCTTTCAGAAGCTCCCTTCTGGGAAAGGTGTTACGGATTGATGTCAATAGGGCAGGTTCAGGCGGCAAGAGGTACCGAGTTCCCCTGGACAACCCGTTTGTTTCTCAGCCAGGGGCGCACCCGGCCGTCTATGCCTTTGGGGTCAGAAACATGTGGCGCTGTGCCGTGGACCGGGGGGACCCTGTCACTCGCCAGGGCCGAGGCCGGATATTCTGTGGGGACGTGGGCCAGAACCGATTCGAAGAAATCGACCTCATTGTCAAAGGCGGGAACTATGGCTGGAGAGCAAAGGAAGGGTTTGAATGTTACGACAAAAAACTGTGCCGCAATGCCTCTCTGGGTAAGTCAGAAGCTCTGCGGATGCGGGTAGGGAATAAAACCTGAGAGACTGTCCTCTCCCGCGGGTTCTTTGCTGTTGCTAGCTGCTGTCGAATGGGCCCCAGACTCACGACGACTCCATATACAACAGAATGAACTGATGCCCCGTCCTGTGCCGTCCCCATGACTGACTGCAGATCAGACTGTTGTGATCCATAGGGCTTTCACTGCCTGATTTTTGGAAATAGATCACCAGGCCTTTCTCTTAGTCTGTCTTAGTCTGGAAGCTCTGCTGAGTCCTGTTCAGCATCACAGCACCTTGCGTGGTGGCTGTGCATGAGGTGCACTGGGCAGGAATCGAACCTGGGTCTCCAGCATGGAAGGCGAGAATTCTACCACTGAACCACCACTGCATCATGGCAGGTCTTTAAGGCGTGCCTTTATTGTGTCTTGTGGGACGGTGCTCCTCAAAGTGTGGTCCCGCGGCGCTGGCAACAGAATCATCTCCAGCGGTGCTTGTTAAAAAGTAAATTCCTGGGCTCCACCGCAGACCTTATGAATTTGAATCTTGGGTGGACTGGGGACATGGGAAAGATCTAGGAATCTATTTTAAATAAGTTATCCACGTGATTCTTAGGCATAGTATTTTGCTGGCAGGGAAAAACTGGTGGCTATGTGGTTTTCTTTATTTCCCAAATCAGGGTAGCCCACTGAAATGATATTCTGTGTCTAGCCAAGTAAGAACAATGCCCAAACGTTAATAACCCTATTTCTCTGTGTGAATCAACAGTTAAGGTGTGTTTAAGAAACTCTGCTTGGCTCAAACTTCCAATTTTCTGATTCTGCCATCATTATTTAGGCTTTCCGTGGACTCTTAGATTACAAAGCCACAACATAAACCTCAACAATGGACTCAAACATACCAAGGATCAGGAAGATGGCGCAGGGCCGGGCAACGTTTTATTGTTATACATAAGGTCTCCACCAGTTGGACTGACTCCATGGCAACTAACAACAACAAAGTTGCAAAGCAGTAGTCCAGACCCGCATGATATTTTCCAAATCCTTAAATCTGAATATCTGACGTATCAACCTAGGAGAAAAACTTAGGTGTGTGGATTTCCAGGTCATTGCCTCAGAGAGAATTTTTTTCTTCCCTCTGCCTGCAGATGGCAGTCAATGGGAAAGTCACAAAAACCAATGGCTGGTCTGTTGAGGAAAAATAGGCATGATTAGCCTTGGCTGCCTGTCCTACCGAAGACCGAGAGCTAAAGTGTTCTCCACTGAATCAAGCACCTGCATTCAACAGCCCCATTCTTACTCCTTGAAGCTCTCACTTTTGATCATGACACTCGCTGTCTTTCCTTGTCCTGGACAGATGACATTCTGCCCATCTATGCATATGGCCATGCAGTGGGGAAGTCAGTCACTGGAGGGTATGTCTACCGTGGGTGTGAATCCCCAAATCTCAATGGCCTCTACATCTTCGGGGACTTCATGAGTGGGTAAGGAAGGTTGATGTCCCCTTTATCTTTTATTTATTTTAGTGTTCTTACTGAGGTCTAACTGGGAGCCCTGGTGGCGCAGTGATTAAGACCTTGGCTGCTAACCAAAAGGTTGGCAGTTCAAATCCACCAGTCACTCCTTGGAAACCCTATGGGGCAGTTCTACTCTGTCCTATAGCGTCGCTAGGAGTTGGAATTGACTTGATGGCAACGGGTTTTTTTTTTTTTTTTTTTAACTTATATATAGTGAAATACAAATTCTTAAGAGCACAGATGAATGAAGTTTTCTAAATATATACAGTTGCATTACCAGCCATATCAAGATGCAGAACATTTCCATCACTCTAGAAGGTTCCTTCTTGCCTGTTTCCTATCAATACCACCCTCTGTCCTCTCTCCCTCTCCCTCTCTCTCTCTCTCTCTCACACACACACACACACACACACACACACACACACACTAGCAGAGGTAAACACTATTGACCTGTCTCATCACAGATTACTTTTGCTTCTGGAACTTCATATAAATTGAATCATACAGTATGTACTCTTTTTTTGTACCTGGCTTCTTTCATTCAGCATAATGTCTGTGAAATTCATCAGTGGTCATATATATCAGTAGTTTGTATTTTTTATTGCTTTGTAGTATTCCGTTGTATGAATATACCACAACTTATTAATCTATTCTCCTGTTGATAGACGTGTCAGCTGTTTCCAGTTTGGGGATATTATGAATAAAAACTGCTACAATGTTTCATATGTTTCAGTGTATAGTTCTTGTACGTCTAAGTGTTTGATTTTTTTTGATGTATTTGAATAGTATTTTGATAAATTTCAATTTCTGATTGTTCATTGCTAGTTTATAGAAAAAATATATGAAGTTCATTTTACATATATATGTATGTATTATATATATATACATATATATATATATATATATACATACATAATACATATATATATAATGAGCTTGTATCTGGCAACCTTGCTGAACTCCTTATTAGTTTTAGTAGCTTTTTGTTGATTCTATTGGATTTTTTATGTAGAAGATCATTTTGTCTACAAATATAGAAAATTTTACTTTTTCTTTTCTGAATTAGGATCCTTCTATTATTTTATTTTCTTGTTGTACGTTCCAGTTTAAACCTTCAGTACAATGTTGAATAGAAGTGAGGAAAAGCATGCAGCTTTTCATCAATAATATGGTGTGAATTGTAGGTGTTTTGTACACCTACAGGTTGAGAAAGTTTCCTTTTATTCCTAGTTTGCTGAGGATTTGTATTAGGTATGGATGTTGGATTTTGTCAAATGCTTTTTATGCAGCTTTTGAGAGAATTGTATGGTTTTTCATTTGTAGATGTTAATATGGTGAATTACACTGATTGTTTTTTAATTGTTAAAGCAGTCTTGCATTCCTGGGATAAACACTACTTGGGCATGATGTATTATTCTTTTTATATATTGTTCGATTCCATTTGCTAACATTTTGTACAGAATTTCTGCATCTATGTTCATGAAGGGTATTGATCTGTAGTTTTTCTTTCTCATAATATTTTTGTTAGGTTTTGGTATCAGGGTAATGCTGGCTTTATAGAATGAGTTGGGAAGTAACTTCCCCCTCTTCAATTATCTGGAAGAGTGTGTGTAAAACTGGTATTATTTCTTCTTTACATGTTTCTTCCTTATAAGTGAAGCCATCTGAGCCTGGAGTTTTCTTTGTGGAAATATGTTTACAAATTCAATTTCCTTAATAGATATAGACTATTCAGTTTATCTGTTTATTTCTGAGTAAACTTTGGTAGTCTGGGTCTTTCAGGGTGTTTGTCCATTTCACCTCAGTTGGCATAAAGTTATTCATAACGTTCCCTTATTATCCTTTTTAGTGTCTGTAAAAACTATAGTGATGTCACCTGTGTTAGTCCAGATGTTGGTAATCTGTGTCTTCTCCCTCCCTCTCTCTTTTTCAGATTAGTCTAACTACAGGTTTATCAATTTTATTGATCTCGAAGCAGTTTTTGGTTTCAATGATTTTTTTTCTGTTCTGTATTGCATTGATTTCTACTCTGATCTTTATCATTTCCTTCCTTCTGCTTGCTTTGAGTTTAACTGGCTCTTCTATTTCTAGTTTTTTAAGATAGAAGTTAAGGCCATTGATCTGCAGTCTGTCATCTTTTCTAATATGTATGCTTAGTGCTATAAATTGGAGCCCTGGTGGGTGTAGTGGTTAAGAGCTATGGCAAGCTGTGGCTGCTAACCAAGAGGTTGGCAGTTTGAATCCACCAGCCGCTCCTTGGAAACCCTATGGGGCAGTTCTGCTCTGTCCTATAGGATCACTGAGTCAAAATCGACTCAACGACAAAGAGTTTTTTTTTTAAGTGCTATAAATTACACCCCTCCTCCAAGTATTGTTTTAGCAGCAGTCCATAAATTTTGATATATTATGTTTTCATTTCATTCATTAAAAATATTTTCTAATTTCCTTTCGTTATTTTCTTTGACCCATAAGTTTTTTAGAAAGATGTGATTTAGTTTCCAAACATTTGGGGATTTCCCAGTGATCTTTGTACTACTGATTTCTAATTTATTTTTTATTGTGGACGCAGAACATACTTTACATGACTTGAGTACTTTTATACTTATTGAGACTTGTTTTATGGCCCAGAATATGATCTCTGTTAATGTTCCATGTGCAGTTGAAAATGATATGTGTTCTGCTCTTGTTGAGTGAAATGTTCTATAAATGTCAATTAGCTCAAGTTGGTTATGTTGCTCAAGTCGCTTCTAGAGCCTTACTGATTTTCTGTATAAATTTTTAAAATCAATTTTGCGAGAGGAATATTGAAATCTCTGACTCTAATTGTGGATTTGTCTGTTTTTCTTGTAGTTCTACCAGTTTTTGCCTCCTGCATTTTGAAACTGTGAATGGTGAGGAATGTTATGCGTTCCTGATGAATTGGCTGCTTTATCATTATGAAATGAGCTTTTTTTTTTTAAATCTCTAGTAATAGTCTTTGTTTTGAAAACCACTTAAGATAATATTATTATAGCCATTTCATATTTTCTTTGTTTAGTGTTATGATGATACATAGGGTCATTATGAGTCAAAATCAACTTGACAGCAATGGGTTTGGTTTTTTTTTTTTTTTTTAATGACGATATATCTTTCTCTACCCTTTTAGTTTTAACTTATTTGTGTCTTTATATTTAAAGTGTGTCTCTTGTAGGCAGAACATAGTTGGGTCTTGCTTTTATATCCACCCTTACAATCACTGCCTTTTAACTGAGATTTAGAGCATTTATATTTAATGTGATTACTGATATTGTTGTTGTTGTTAGTTAGTTGCTGTTGGGTAGATTCTGACTCACAGTGACCCCATGTGTGCAGAGTAGAACTTTTCCATAGGGTTTTCAAAGCTAGGATCTTTTGGAAGAAGATTGCCAAGCCTTTCTTCCAAGGCACCTCTGGGTGGGTTCAAACTGCCAACTTTTTGGCTAGTAGTCAAGTGCTTAACCATTTGTGCCACCCAGGGACTCCTGATTACTGATATACCAAAAAAAAACAAAACAAAAAAACAACAACCAAAAAACCCAAACCCATTGCCATTGAGTCAATTCCAACTCTTAGCAACCCTATAGGACAGAGTAGAACTGCCCCATAGGGTTTCCAAGGAGCGGCTGGTGGATTCACACTGCTGACCTTTTGGTTAGCAGCAGAACACTTAACCACTGAGCCACCAGGGCTCCAATAAACTCATTGCCATCGAGTCGATTCCCACTCATAGCGAATCTATAGGACAGAGTAGACCTGCTCCATAGGGTTTCCAAGGCTGTAATCTTTACGGAAACAGACTGCCACATCTTTCTCCTGTAGAGTGGCTGGTGGGTTTGAACCGCAAACCTTTTGGTTAGCAGCTGAGTGCTTAACCACTACTCCACCAGGGCTCCTTGATTATTGATACAGTTAAGTTTAAATCTATCATCTTGCTATTTTTTTTTTGGTATCATTTTCATTTGTTTCTTTTAACCTACCTTTTTCAAAAAATGGAATAGTTTTTATAATCCATTTTATCTCTTTTGTTTGCTTATTAGCTATAACTCTTTGATTTGTTAGTTTAGTGTTGCCTTAGGGTTTATAGTGTTCATCTTTAAGTTATCACAGTCTGCCTTCAAGTGATATTGTATTAGTACTGTATTGTTGTCATTGTTGGGTGCTGTTGAGTTGATTCTGACTTATAGTGACCCCATGTGACAGAGTAGAACTGCTCCATAGGGTTTTCTTGGCTGTAATCTTTATGGAAGTAGATTGCCAGGTATCTCTCCTGTGGAGCTACTGGGTGGATTCGAACTGCCAACCTTTTGGTTAGCAGCTGAGTGCTTAACCAATTACTTCAAAATTTAGTGGCTTAAAACAGCACAAATTTATTATCTCACAGTATCTGTAGATCAGGAATCTGGTCCTGGCTTAGTTGGGTCCTCGGCCTCTCAGTCTCTCATGAGGTTCAAGTCAAGTAGTCAGCCAGGGCTGAAGTCTCATCTGAAGGCTTGAATGGGAAATGATCTGCTTCCAACCTCATGTATGTGGTTGTTTGCAGGATTCAGTTCCTCAAGTTCTCTTGGACTGAGGGTCTCAGTTCCTAGCTTTCTGTTGGCTGGAGGTCGCCCTCTGTGTCCTGCCATGTTAGCTTTCTCAATAATGCAACTTGTTTCATCAAAGCCAGCAAGGTAGAGAAGCTGTTAGTAAGACAGACGTTAAAGTCTTATGTAGCCTAATCATGGAAGTGACATCTCATCATCTTTGCCATATTGTTTGTTAGAAGCAAGTCATTAGGCTAGTTCAACTCAAGGGGAAGCAATTACACAAGGGCATGAATACCAGAAGGCAAGGATCACTGGGGGCCATCTTAGAGTTGACCTGCCACAGATATCATACCACTTCACTATAGCATAAGAACCTTACAGCAGTGCACATCAATTTCTTTCCTCCCAGCCTTTATGCTACTGTTGTTATACATTTTACTTATATGTATGTTGCGAACCACACAATACATTGCTATTATTTTTACATAGTCTGTTATCTTTCAAATAGATTTAAATAATAATAACATAGTTATTGTGGTAGGCTGAATAATGGCACCCAAAGATAAACAAACTAACCATACCCATTGCCACTGAGTTGATTCTGACTCATAGCGACCCTATAGGACAGAGAAGAACTGCCCCATAGGGGTGCCAAGGCTGTAATCTTTACGGAAACAGACTGCCACATCTTTCTTCCACGGAACAGCTGGTAGGTTCGAACCACTGACCTTTCAGTTAGCAGCCGAGCATTTAATCACTGCACCACAGGGCTCCTTCCCCCAAAGACAAGCAGATCTTAATTCTTGGAACCTGAGAACGTTACCTTATATGATAACAGGGAATTTGCACATGTGACTAAGTTAAGGATCTTGAGATGAGGAGATTATCCTGGATGATACGAGTGGGTTCTAAGTATAATCACAGGTGTCCTTATAAGAAGGAGGCAGAAGGAGATTTGAAGACAGAAGAGGAAGAAGGTGATGTGACAATGGAAATACAGGGAGAAAAGGTGATGTGATGTGGGCAATAAGTCAGGGAATGAGAACAACCTCCAGAAGCTGGAAAAGGCAAGGAATCTGATTCTCCCCTAGAGCCTCTGGAGGGAGCGCAACCCTACCAACACCTTGATTTTAGCCCAGTGAAACCCATTTCAGAACTCTGGCCTACAGAACTGTAAGAGAATAAAGATGTGTTGTTTTAAGACATCAAGTTGTGGTAATTTGTAGCAGTAAGAAACTAATACAGTTAGCATTCCCAGTGCTCCTCATCCCTTTGTGTAGATGCATATTTCTTTCAGAGATCATTTTTCTTCTGCCTGAAGAACTTCCTTTAACATCTCTTTTATGATGGCTATGATGCTGATGAATTCTTTCAGCTTTTGCATGTCTGAAACAGACTTCATTTTGCCTTCATTTTGAAAGATATTTTCACTGGGTGTAGCAGTCTATGTTTACATTTTTTTCTTTAATTCTTTAAAGATAGTACCCCACTATATTCTGCCTTGCATCATTTCCAGTGAGAAATCTGCTGTCATCCTTATATTTGTTCTTCCACACATAATGTGTCATTTTTTTCTCCAGCTGCTTTTAATGTTTTCCCTTTATCATTGGTGTTGTGCAATTTTATTATGTGTGCCTTGCAGTAGTTTTCTTCATATTTCTTGGGCTTGGAGTTACACCTCTTGGATCTATGAGTTTATAGTTTTCATCAAATCTGGAAAATTTCTTTAAATATTTTTTCTGTTCCCTACCCCTTTTCTTATTTCTCCGCTGGAAACTACAGCTACACATATATTAGGCTCCTTGTAAAGTTGTCCCACAGCTCACTGGTGATCTGTTTATGTTTAAGATTTTTTCTCTCTGTGTTTCATTTTGCATAGTTTCTATCATTATGTCTGAAACTCATAAATCTTTCTTCTGCAACATCTAATCTTCCATTTATCCCATTAGTGTGTTTTTTTTTTAATCTCAGTATGTTTTTCATATCTAGACATTTAGTTAGGGTCTTATACTTTTTTTTCTATTTCGTGAACATACGGAATATAGTAAGAATAACTGTTTTAATGGTCTTGTCTGCTAATTTTAACACCTGTATCAGTTCTATGTCAATTTTGGTTCGTTGTTTTTTCTCCTCATTATGGGTCATATATTCTCTTTCTTTATTAGCCTAATAATTTTTTATTGGATGGCAGACATTGAGATTCTAACTTCTTGAGTGCTGGGTACTTCTGTACTCCTATAAATATTCTTGAGCTTTGTTCTGGGACACAGAAAAGTTATTTAGAACAGTTTGAACCTTTCAGGTCTTGCTTTTAATATTTGTTAAGCAGGACTGATGTGATGTTTTTTCTAGAGTTACTTATTCCCCACTACTGAACCAAGACTTTCCTGAGAACTCTACCCAATGTCGCATGAATTATACTATTCCTGGCCCTGCTTCCTTTTCTCTCTAATTCTTTCCCCTGCTTCAGGTAATTTCCTCACATGTATCCACTGTTAGTGTACCGACGGATACCGATGGAAGATCTCTGGGGTTCCTTCTATGTGCAACTCTCCTCTCTCCAATATTCCTTCTTGCAAACTCTAGCTGCATTGGTCCCCCTAGACTCTCCGCTCTGTCTTTTTCAACTCAAAGAATCAACTGGGCTCGTTCGATGCTTTCTTTCCATGGGCTGGAAACTGTCAGGGTAGTAAGCTGGGACAATCGTAAGGCTCCCTGTGTTTGTTTCCTGTCTCTCAAGAACCAAAATCCTTCATTGCCTGATGTCCAGTATCTTTTAAACTATTGTTTGTTCTATTTTCACTGTTCTTCTTTTTTTTTTCCCCGTCATTCCCACCCACCCACCACCCCACCTGCGTACATATAGCTGGTTGATAATGCAGCCAGGGATTCTTGTTTGGCGCATATGCTCAGAATCACCTGGGTTTGGGCATTTCTGTTTCCATAAAACTTTTCAGATGATTCTGATGAGCAACCTTGGTTTACCCAACTTCTTTTCCCTTCTAAAAATCTGCTTTTAGTTCATATAGATGATAGAGGGATAGGAAGCATATACCTGTTACTATATAGACATAATAACAATGGTAATAGCAGGCACCTTTTGAACCTTTACTATGTGCCAGGCATACTGGTGAGATTTTTATGTATATTATTTAATTTTGCAACTCTCCCCTATAGTAAGTTCTATTATCATTTACCGTTTTACAGATGAGGAAACAGAGGCTTAGAGATATTGGGCAACTAGCCAAAGGTCACACAACTAATAAAAATAAGATTAGTCTTTTGTAATGGTGCAAACTTCACAGGGCACCAGACTCCCCTTATTATAGAGAATGAGCTTCCCCATCTAGACTAAGTGGGTGATGAAACTGTCTCCGAAGCAGCTTTCTGGCTCTTGGAGGAGGCTGGAGGCTGGTTATTGCCCTCTTTATGGGAGACTCAGTCCTAGGATTCAAGGGTTCCCTGATTCTAGGAAGAAAAGTCTTCTGCAGATTGGAAATATGGATTTCTAAAATATAAGGTTTTATTTTTCATCTAGTCGACTTATGGCTCTGCAGGAAGATAGAAAAACCAAGCAATGGAAGAAACGGGACATTTGCCTCGGCAACACGGCAACATGTGCGTTTCCAGGGCTGATCAGCACCTACAGCGCGTTTATCATCTCCTTTGCTGAAGATGAAGCAGGTAACCAATGTACAGGGTTATCGGATTTCTGCTTCCTGGAACTGTGATCATCACAGGCATTGACTGAACATTCACTTTTATGTAAATACGCACTTCCACTTCTGTTATTATTACTACCATTTAGCTATTCTTTCTAATGTACCAGACACTGTTCTAAGCACTTTACCTTTTTCTTCTTATTTAATAATCAAAATATCCCCATGATGTGACCCATGATGCTCATTTCACCAATGAGGAAACAGACTGAACATACCACCTTACCCTTTCTGGGTTGGACTGCACACCCAATTGTGGAGCGCAAATCAAGGTCTACTCTTCAGTTTTTCAATCCTTTGACTGTGAAGGAGGTTCATGTGCTCCCTTCTCCCTGCTTGTATTCTAATTTGCATTTACAGGAACATGGATAGGGTCGATAGTGGGCAGAATAGATGGGTAGTGGGTGTTTATCCTGATGGTGTCATCTGGAAAGGGTGTCACTGGGGATCAGCTCACTGACGGGGCTGGGCCCTTTCTGACCCTGCCAAGAGTTTGTGAGCAACTTCTGTCAGTGAGCAAGGGTGAACTTCTTTCTTGAGCGATCTGAGAAAAGGGTTGACAGCTAGGTAGGAGGCTACCCAGTAGACAGGTTAGGTACATGTTTAGGGCACCAGCAAAGCAAGGCATATGTGCATGTACACACATGAAAGACAGAGAGACAGACAGACAGAGATGGAGAGATAGACAGGTAGAGAGAAAGATTTGACTTTTCTAAGTTCCCCCAAATTTTGTAATCAGACAAGTAACTCATGTTTGCAGAGACTTTAAATGTTGTTGTTGTCAGTTGCTATCAAGTTGGTTCCAACTCATGGTGGCCCCATGTGTAAAGAGTAGAACTTCTCCATAGGGTTTTCAAGGCTGTGTCCTTTCAAAAGCACATTGCAGGCCTTTCTTCTGAGGTGCCTCTGGGTGGGTTCGAGCCACCAACTTTTTGGCTAATAGTTGAGTGCTTAACTGTTTGCACCACCCAGGGACTCCTTAAGTAACTAATATTTAATTTCAGCTTTATATAAGTTATGCTTAATTTTGAAAGAGAAGTTTTATTTTGTTTTACATAAGTAAGGACAGGGCCCGTGATCTTTTCAGTATATGGCACTGGAAACGGGTAATGTGCTTGCCGCTAACTGAAAGGATGTAGGTTCGAGTACACGTAGAGGCGCCTCAGGAGAAAGACCTGGCAATCTACTTCTGAAAAATCAACCACTGAAAACTCCACGAAGCACAGTTCTACTCTAATACACATGGGTCTCTGTGAGTGGGCATTGACTTGATGTCAACTCTTTTTTTTTATAGTTAGGCTTGGAAGTAAAGAAGAGAATAAAGTTATGGCTCAGGGTCCCTTCCAGACCTAGGATTCTCTATCGTTGTAAACCAGAGCCTTGAAGATTTCCTAACTATTCGGTTTTTTCCACTCTGAGCCACGGGGTGGGCGTACAAGACCTTTATTTTGAGTAGGCTATGAAGAGATCCAGTCAGCTCCTGGACCCTTTCCTCTCGCCTAGCTTATGAATAGATAGTTGAGATGAGCATTTTAGAGGATCTGAGGATATTTTGGAAAATTCAAGCATTTTTAACAGAAAAAAGTCTATGTGAGTTCCAAACTGGAAGTCCAAACATAACAAAGGGGAGAAGCCACAGGCTGGCAGGATGACGCTCAGTGGGAAGAGGATGACGTGAAAACCACAGGCCATGTTGGGCCTGCTCCCCTGCTGGAGCCCCAAGGAGGCTGATCCCCCCCAGGCCGGAGCCCCCCGCGGAGGCTGGAGCTACCTCTCAGAGGTAGGAGCCCCTGGAAGCAGGCCTGCTCAGTGGGCCCTGGGCCCCCGTGTTGTGTAGCTTACTCCTTTTCGGGCGTATATAGAGAGCCTGGCTGTGGTGCTTTGGTGCGTTGTGCCTGTAGACTGCTCTCAGGAGAAAACAGGCTGTTTTTGAATGCCAGTCAGCACATCTGGCAAACAAAACTAAGCGTCCTTGGCTGGATTTTGTGGAGTGGACTTGCCAAGGTGTTCACAAGCAGACTTTGCCCTCAAGCCAGTGAGGCAGTTCAGGAGGCAAGTTATTTTCCTGCCCAGTTGCTTGCTTCTGTGTGTTTGCATAAGCCAACTCGGATTTTCCTATTCTTGTCATATTCCTCTCCACTGATAGACATTTTTTGATCGGAGTATTATTTCACTGGTTTACTATCCTTCTCCGGCTTTAGCTAAGTCACTTTTTACTTGAACCGTTTTGCTTACAGAGCTCTGCCTCAGCTATAGCTACAGTTTATTTACCGAGTTCTCAGAGCCGATAGCTGGTGCCGATAAACAAGCCCTGAGCAGATGACTGGTGCCCATCGCTGGGTTTCTAAGGACTGGATTTCTCAGTGTCAGTCACTGGAGCACATTCCCAAGAGGGCTGGTCAAAGCAATAATGCTTGCAGTCAAGTCACATTGCACGCATTTTGTTTTTCATGGTATATTATAGGGGTTTTTATTTGAGAAGGTGGGGTCCTAAAACATACATGTAAAAAATGTCAATTGGATACTACAGATGAAATTCACCCAAGCCCTATGGTTTTCTCTAAAAATACAATGAGAAATCTGTGGCATGTTTAAAACATACAGTTCACACAAACTGTAGTCTGACGTAGGGAATATGCAGCATTTCAAGGTTTTAAATTCTCCTTTCAGACTGGGTTTGGAGGGTCCCCCGCACAGGATGGCCTGTGTTCTCCTGGATCCTGGGTAGACCCCCTTTTACCTAATGACCGTGCCTGGGGTTTCCAATCAGAGGGGCAAATGGACTGTAGAGTAGGGCGTGTCCTATCTTTTTAGACCCCTTATTGGGGATGGTTATAGTTTGTCACTGCACAAAACCGTACTTCCTTAGCTGGCTTTTATCCTACATGCGGGGCTCTGCAAAGACAAACATTGGTCCCTGTTGTCCACAGATCTGAGGAAGAAGGCCTCTCTGTGTAAAGCTCTAGGCTGTTCAGACTTGCCATGCAGTAGGTGGTTTTCTCCATAAACTTAAGGGAGAGTTGTGTGAGGCACACAACAGCAAGAGAATTAAATGTGGTGCAATTACACAAACATTGTGCCAGATTTACAGTGATGTTTAAGAGGCAGCACTTGCCCCTTCAGGGGTAAAGAGACAAGACGGTATTAGTTACTAACCATGAATTGGATACTTTCAAATTGAATACCTAACAAGCATGTGAGGTATTAAAACCAGTTGCTGTCATGTTGACTCTGACTCATAGCGACCCTGTGTGTGTCAGAGTAGAACCGTGCTCCATAGGGTTTTCAATGGCTGACTTTTCAGAAGTAAATTACCAGGCCTTTCTTCTGAGGCGCCTCTGGGTGGATTTGAACCTTCAACCTTTTGGTTAGCAGCCAACCATGTTAGTCACTTGCACCACCCAGGGACTCCTTATGTGAGGTATTATTATCTCCATTTTGCAAATGAATAAATATCCTGAGAGTGATGCAGATTCAGAGGCTTCCCAAGATGACGTAGTGAGTTGTATCAGAATTCAAACCCCGATTTGCCTAACTCTAAACCTACACTATACTGTCCTCCACAGATGAGTATAAAACAAGGAGGAATGAGGTTGTAACTATGAGAAAGGAACACCGTTCTCTGGAGTTCAAACAGGAGGAAATGAGAGGGAACGGGCTCTTTCTAAATGAGAGGAAGGAGAGAGTGGGTAGAAGTGATTTTTGTGGGGCTTGGAGGAGACCAAGAGGAGAGGCTGAAGTGGGGGAGGCTCATAAGGAAATAAGGAGCCCAAGGACTGATGGACGGCAGCAAGGGCACAGTGACGCTGAGGGGAAAACCAAGGACTAAAGAAGGGAGAAGCATGAAGTGGGAAGTACATGACCCTCCCCTCTATATTGTCTGTTTCCAAAGCTCCACAGAGAACCCTCATCAGTGCAAGGGAGGCGGGAGAGGAGATGGACGCAAATTAAGGCATAGTTTCTGAGAGCAAAGAGATGATAAAGGAGAAGCTATTTGTTTCAATAAACCTACATTAACAGAGATACTGGGTGGTGTAATGGTTAAGTGCTTGACTACTGACCAAAAGGCGGGGGGTTTGGACCTCCCCAGAGGCTCCTTGGAAGGAAGGCCTGGTGATCTGCCGCCCGTGAGTTGGAGCTGACTCCATGGCAACTAGCTTGGTTGTGTTTTTTTGGCCGTGCCACACTCTAAGTTAGGCTCAGGGGCTCAGGAATGGTCTTTGTCCTCAAGGAGCTCACAGTCCAGTGAAGGCCTATGTGTCACTCATGATTTCGGGGTTCTGATCTTGGGGCTCACTGTATCTGAGGGCCATGTCCCATTTTGATGCCTGATGCCCTGTTATTCCTTGCCTATTCTGTTTCCTTAGGGGAGCTCTATTTCCTGGCCACCTCTTACCCAAGTGCCTACGCGCCACGCGGATCTATTTACAGATTTGTCGACCCCTCAAGGTAAGAGTTGGTCTCCTTTTCTTTGCAAGTACCTCTTCATCAGTGTCCTTATCTCGGTGGCAGGTGATAACACACAGTCCTCAGTTCCCAAGAGTCACCAAAATTTATCAGTGAAGCTAATCCATGCTTTAGATGAAAAGCAGTTTGGACAAACATATGAAGAATGAAGTGTCCATAAGAATTATGGAATACTTGGGGTATGATCTCTTTGTAGTTGGAAATGAGGGTCTTGAGCTTTTTCCAGGATATCTAGCCTAGGTCTGTGGTTCCTGTTTTTTTGTTTTTTCACATGGTTTTGGAAACTCATCTACCATCGTCCAACACCTAGTCTACACCTCTGACCACCTGGGTAGGTATTGCTGCCTTATCTCCTGGGCCTGGTGGATGTCTTAAAGTCTTTGGCGAATATCTCAAACTAGCAGGTTATCTCAGCAGCTCCCTTTCTGGAATACTGCGGCAGTATCTATTCACTTGGTGGGCTGTCTGCTGTTTACTTCTCCTTTGTCCACCTCTCTCAGAGGTTAGCCACCTCCAAGTGATCAGGCAGAAACCACAATGCAGCGTCCCACTCTTGGGTTGTTGAGTCTGTGGTCATTGTATCTGCCCCTGGAAGGGAGATGGAGGGTATCATCGTGAGGATTCTGGGCAGTGTGCTGGATTTATCTCAGAATTCTTGCCCCAGCAAGAAAGTCTGCCTGTGAACCAGCTTCCCCATGAGGATTATGTTATTCACATCTGGGTTGGTGTTCAGTAGACATTAGGCAAATAGGTCCAGCCACCTGTCAGGCTGCAGGGGTCAGGCTCAGCTCAGCTTCCATTTGGCAACAAGGCTGTCAGTTTATGTGTTCTTAGAAGATCCTAGAAGAGGCTCAGCCTCTGACCGAGGCTCAGCCTCTGAGCGAGGCTCCCAGTTTGTGCTGGGGCACTCTGCTGGTAGCTGGTACACAGATTGCCAAGGGGTGAGTTTGGTACTGAGCCGTCTGTCTCCTGTCTTGGGTCTGCTACTGGCACAGCCCCTTGTGTGTAGGGGATGGAGTGGACCCAGGGTCCCGTAAAGTGCTTTGGGGGTTGGGAATGCCTACCCCAGTAGTTCTCCTGCCCTTTCCCCTGACAGCTTTCCTGTGTGAATCCATTTTTCTTTCCTTTGACAGTTTCCTGCTTGGATGGGGGATAATTTAACTCCCTTCTATCACCAGAGCAGACATGCGTTGTTGTTAGGTGCTGTCAAGTCGGTTCCAACTCACAGTGACCCTATGTGTATAACAGAACAAAACACTACCCAGTCCTGCACCATCCTCACAATTGTGGCTGTGCTTGAGCCCCTTGTTGCAGCCACTGGGTCAATACTTCTTGATGAGGGTCTTCCTTTTTTGCTGACCCTCTACTTTACCAAGCATGAAGTCCTTCTCCAGGGACTGGTCCCTCCTGATAACATGTCCAAAGTATGTGAGACGAAGTCTCACCATCCTGGCTTCTAAGATGCGTTCTGGCTGTACCTCTTCCAAACACGAGACACTACATAGAACAGCTGTAATGCCTTCCCCACACTGAAGAAATCCCTCCTTATTCACCTTCTCCCAAGCTGATAGTTATTGAGTAATTACTGTGTACAGGCGTGGTGCCAAGTGCGCTGCATGCAGGATCTCATTTAAAGCTGACAAAATCCCAGGAAGGTGGGTTAACGCCCTCAATTTACATATAAGGAAACTGAAGGCTAGACAAGTTAAATTACTTGCCAAATAAGAAGGGGACCCAGGATAGGAACTTGCTTTTCTTTGTGGAGGATCAAAGTCATTTCAGCCCCACACGCTCAGTCTAGTCATAATTACATTGAATTATACAGACTTTTTGAGTTTCTGTAGCAGTGGATCCAGATTCTGCTGACTACTTATTTGACACAACTTCCCACTACATGCACCCATCCCAGCCTTCTGTGGGCACTATCAATTTACACATGTATGGTTTTTTCTCTTCTATCTTTTCTTCCTGCCCTTCCTTGAGAGGCAGCTGAATACAGTGGTTAAGAATGTGGACTCTGGAGCCTGGGTTTGAATCTTGGCTTTGCCACTAACTAGCACTGGTCTGTTTCTTAATGTTTGTGTGCATCAGTTTCCCCATCTGTAAATGGGGATAATAATAGTATTTATGTCATAGGATCGTTATGAGGAGTCGATGAGTTAATATTTATACAGTATTTAGAACAGCATCTAAGCATCACATATGTGCTTGTTTAATAAATAAAGTCACTTTTTTTCTTTTTTTTAACTTGGGGTAAGGAAGTTAGAGTTGGAGCCAGGCAGAGAAGGCAGTGGGATCAGCTGGGAAGCTTCATCTCTGCTCTGGTCACATATCCCTGTGCTCCCTGTCTCCCAAAACCAAACCAAACCCCTTGCCGTTGAGTCGATTCCGACTCATAGCAACCCTATAGGACAGAGTGGAACTGCCCCGTAGGGTTTCCAAGGACCGGCTGGTGGATTCAAACCACCGACAAACGCTTAACTCCTGCTCCGCCAGGGCCCGCCTGTCTCCAAAGTCCTTTTTGTTTCGAAGGTGCATGCAGGGGGAATGCAGTTTAAGAATTAGTGTGCTACTAGGCAGAGAGGCTGGCAGTATTTAAGGGGCTGTGCCAAGAGTTCCTAAAGGGATTTTCGTTAAGTGGCATCACCATCACCACCACCTCCACCAGCAGCAACAGAATCAACGTCATCATCAGCATCATCATTATTGATGGAGCACTTGCTGTGTACTGGGCAGTGCTCTGAACTTTTTTATTATCTCCTTGTCAATCGTTTATAGTGTTCCAGGCACACAGATCTTATTTAATCCTCACCCCTCCCTTGAGAGCTGGGTAATACTATTATAATTATTAAATTTTACAGATGCAGAAATCGAGGCTTAGCGAGGTTCCCTTACCCAGATGTCCAGGACTGGCGCCCAGTTCTGTCATTTGCAGGCCCCTGGCCCAGCCCCTCACTACACCGTCTCCCAAGGCCTGAGGTGCCCCAGTGATGGCCGCGCGCTGGCTCCTCTCCATCTGAGATTCTTTCCTACTCCATCTGCCCCATCCCTGCGGATAACTGAGGGCTGAGCCCAGTTCTTGCTAATATACGCCCTCAGGTGATCTTGATCTCCCGGTCACATCTTCACAGCCTCCTGTGCTCACCGTTTCTGTGTTTTCAGGCGCGCGCCCCCAGGCAAGTGCAAATACCAGCCGGCGCCGGTGAAAACCAAGAGCAGGCGGATCCAGTTCAGGCCGCTCGCCAGTGAGTCTGCCTTTGAATCCTAGGGCGCAGGCCTCGGCGTCGCTGCTGCCGGGACACAGCTCCCTCAGTGCCGTCTACAAGCTCTCCCAGGGAGGAGGGTCTCCGTCTCTCCCTCACAGCTGTCTTTTGGAAAAGGACTGTCCTTGTGGCTCAGTCTTTCCGGTTCTTCCACATGCCAGAGTGGGTGGGAGCAACACCTGCCTCTCCTGTGACCTGTCCTCCTGCATTCATTCATTCATCATGTAATTTTTCATGTATCCATGCATTCATTTAGCATTGTTCATCTACGTAATATTGACTACGTGGCAGGCGCTGTGAATGTGAAATGTCTCTGACTTGCAGGAGTTCACAGTCATATGGTGGGGTGGGGAGTGCAGCCCAATAAAGAAAGAAATCCAGCATCAAAGTTCTGCTGTGGAGGGATGGGTGTGCAGGGGCCTGGGAAGGCCCCGAAGTGATGAATTCTTCCTAGAGGTAGGGTGGGGAGTCAGGGAACGCTTATACAGGAGGGGTGCTGTCTTAAGAAGACTATCTGAAGTGGCTATCTTATTTCAGAACCACTTATCACTGGAGTGACCCTGCTCAAAAAAACATACACACACACATATATCAGTTAAGGGAATTAAAAATATTAATTTAAATAGAATCCGTATTAAAGAATCATTACGCAGTCATAGGCATCCTGGGTAGTCTTTCTCTTAAAGCTGCTTTCCAGGACTTATATTTCTCACTAACTAAATGCTTATTTCCCAGAGACAGTCCTGGACTTGCTAAAGGAGCAAGCAGACAGAGCTACTAGAAAATTATCCAACGCAACCTCCGCTTCCAGCCCTCACCCGGCCTTGCCTAAGAAAGCCTCCTCCAAGAGGCCGGCTTCTCGCACCAGCAGCAGGAAAACACCGCGAGGGCCTGGCACAAAGAAGAAAGCCAGAGTGTGGGCTCCAGGCCCGCAGGAGAAGAGAAAGAAGAGCCGCGAGCCCCACAGTGGCAGTACGGTCCCATCAGCCCAGCGACGGCGAGCTGGCAGGAGCCTCCCTCGGCTCTTTCTGCCAAGGTGGCCGGCCCAGGGATGGGAGCCACGTGGAAGCTGCTGCTGAAGGCTCGCCTTAGAAGTACCGGAAGTGGGGGTGAGGCAGAGAGGACTCAGTGGGGCCAGGTGAGAATGAACGGAAGCCCCTCGTCTATTTAGGTGCAACTGTGGTTAGACCAAGCTGTAAACCTGCCTGGAATCCCACATGATGTCTCTGTTTTGTTTTTAAAAATGCTTACCACCTAAGATAATAAATCAACAGTTTCTCAAACTGATATATATCCTTCACTCTTCTGAATGTTTGTCTGTTATTAGGAAATCGAGCGTGCCTCGAATTTGGCTAAGAACTATACTACCTGCTCATGCCTCTTCCCAGGTCTAGCAGGCCTGTGACAGGCTTCCAAGGAAAGTCCCCCTAAACGGTGTTCTCCTTTGCCCCAGTCTGAAGTTCATGGGATGAATAAGGGTACGTTCACTTCTGTACTTCTAGCATCTACGATTGTGCCTCAGCAAATAGCATAAAAAACATAACTACACTGTGTTTGAATACCTATCATGTACCAGAGCCCTGGTGGTGCAGTGGTTAAGTGTTCGGCTGCTAACTGAAAGGTTGATGGTTCAAACTTACCACCAGCTGCTCTGCGAGAGAAAGATGTGGCAGTTTGCTTCCATACAGATTACAGCCTTGGAAACCCTGTGGGCCAGTTCTACTCTGTTTTATAAGGTCACCGAGTTGGAATAGACATGATGGCAATGGGTTTTTGTTTTTTTATCATGTGCCAGGAGTCCCTGGGTGGTGCAGATGGTTAATGTGCTTGGCTACTAACCTAAAAGTTGGTAATTCGAGTTCACCCAGAGGTGCCTTGGCAGAAAGGTCTGGCAATCTACTTTAAAAAATTCAGCCATTGACCAAGAGACAGAAAGGGCCACATAAACCAAAGACTTCATCAGCCTGAGACCAGAAGAACTAGATGGTGCCCAGCTACCACAATGACCTCTCTGACAGGAAATACAACAGAGAGTCTCTGACGGAGCAGGAGAAAAATGGGGTGCAGAACTCAAATTCTAGGAAAAAGACCAGACTTAATGGTTTGATTGAGACTAGAGGGACCCTGGTCGACGTGGCCCCCGGACTCTGTTAGCCCAAAACTAAAACCATTCCTGAGGCCAACTCTTCAGACAAAGATTAGACTGGACTATGGGACATAAAATGATACTCTTGAAGAGTGTGCTTCTTAGCACAAGTAGACAGATGAGACTAAATGGGCAGCTCCTGTCCAGAGGCGAGATGAGAAGGCAGAGAGGGTCAGGAGCTGGTTGAATGGACACGGGAAATCCGGGGTAGAAAGGAAGAGTGTGCTCTCACAGTATAGGGAGGGCAAATAGGGTCACATAACAATGTATGTATAAATTTTTGTACGAGAGTCTAATTTGAATTAAAGCACAACAAAAAAGAAAAAAAGTGCCAGTCAGAAAATATGAAAAAAAAAAAAAAGTTCAGCCATTGAAAACCCTATGGAGCACAGTTCTACTCTGACACGCATGGGAGGGCCATACTCTGGAGTCGATACCACGGCAGCTGATTGTGGTGATTGCTTACCTAACCTAAATCCATCAAGTTTCTCTTTTGTTCTTTTTCTCTCGTTCTGTCTTTTTGAGGAGCCCTGGTGTCTCAGTAGTTAAGAGCTCGGGTGCTAACCAAAAGGTCGGCAGTTCAAATCCAGCAGCTCTTCCTGGGAAACCCTATGGGGTAATTCTACTCTGTCCTATAGGGTCGCTATGAGTTGGAATTGACTTGATGGCAGCGGGTTTGGTTTTGTGTTTTTTTTTTTTTTTAATGAAAGATGCAAAACACTGGTCGTCATTTTCTGAAGATCATTTTTAGACCATCTTTCAGTCTTTTCCCTTCGCCCTTTTCTCAGGTATTTTTTACTTTACCCCTGCCTACCTTTGTAGCTCTTATGAACACTTTCAGGCTAGAAATGAACTGCAGGTTTCTGACCAACCCAGATATTTTAGTTTATAGCCTCCAGGATATTTTGTATCCGTCTCAGCTGAAGACATCAAAATAAAGGTGAAAGGGATTAAACCCTGAATCATTTTGTTGAAAGATGGCCAAAAATCCTGGGTCAGTTCAGGGAGATTGGTTCTAACCTTTGGACGAAATACTCAATCTCACTTTGCCTCATTTTGCCCCTTTGGTATTTGTCTTATCTAGTGCTGCTATGGAAATCCTGGTAACTGCTAACTAAATGTCGGCAGTTTGAATCCACCAGGCGCTCCTTGGAAGCTCTATAGGGCAGTTCTACTCTGTCCTATAGTGTCATTATGATTCGGAGTCGACTCAACGGCAATGGGTTTGGGTTTTTTTTGTTTAGTGCTACTTTAACAGAAATGCCACAAGTGGGTGGCTTTAATGAACAGAAATTTATTTTCTCACAGTTTAGGAGGCTAGAAGTCCAAACTCAGGACCCCAGCTCTAGGGGCAGGCTCACCCTTTGTGGGCTCTGCAGGAAGATCCTTGTCTCTTCAGTTTCTGTTCCCTGGTCCCTTGGTGATCATCATGTGCCCTGGTATCTATCTTCCTCCATTTCTGCTTCCTTGATTAATCTCCTCTTTTATATCTCAGAAGAGATTGATTTAAGACACACCTACACTGATAGGAGCCCTGGTGGTGCAGTGGTTAAGAGCTACGGCAAGCTATGGCTGCTAGCCAAAAGGTCAGTAGTTCGAATCCACCAGCCACTCTGTGGAAAACCTATGGGGCAGTTCTACTCTGGCCTATAGGGTCGCTATGAGTTGGAATTGACTCAACAGCAACAGGTTTGGTTTTCCACACTAATACTGCCTTATTAATATAACGAAGAAACCCCATTCCCAGATGGGATTATAACCACAGGTCTAGGGGTTAGGATTATAACACATATTTTCAAGGGACATAATTCAATCCATAACAGTATTTCTTCAAAGAAACCCACTGCCGTCAAGTTGTTTCTGACTTACAGCAATCCCACAGGACAGAGTAGAACTTCCCATAGGGTTTACAAGGCTGTAAATCTTCACGGAAGCAGACCGTCATATTTTTCTCCCGTGATTTCTTCAAAGGATGTGGTAAAAATAGGGTCAGGCCTGGTAGTCTTTTGAGCTCTGGAGGAAAGGTGCTCAGAACTCATGTAGCAAACAAAGGAACCCATTTCCAAATTCAAGGCATTCTGAGCACAGGTTTTGAGTAGGAGGATAGTGGGTCCTGGTGGCGCGGTGGTTCAGAGTTCCGCTGCTAACCAGAAGGTCAGCAATTCAAATCCACGAACTGCTCTTTGGAAACTCTGTGGAGCAGTTCTACTCTGTCCTGTAGGGTCGCTATGAGTTGGAATCAACTTGACAGCCACGGGTTTGGGTTTTTTTGGGGAGCAGGGTCTGGAGAAAGGAACTGAATGGTATGCCTGAAATGCTGGGAAGCCGGGGGAGAGGCAGAGAATTTCTCTCTGGCTAAGGGGCTTTATTTTCTGGAAGATGGCAGGTGATGCTAATGAGCTTTCATGGAGGGGCTAGGACTGTTAGAAAATAATTGCTAGGCTATAGCAAAGTCAACATGTATTGAATTTCCTTAGTTCCTGGGGTGTTGGAAAGTTCAGAAAGTTGAAAAATACACACATACATGTGATTCCTTTCGTTTTGAGACCAACTGGAGGAGGGAAAGATGGGAGGAAGGATGAGAGGACCGGTAACACTGGAGGGAGATGAGACCAGAAGGCTTCTATGGCATCTTTTTCTTACTAACTCGGCCACTTGATGACCACGTAACCCAGGGTCTCAGTTACCTAGTGCTGCTGTAACACAAACACCACAAGTGGGTGGCTTTAAAGAACGGGAATTTATTGTCTCACAGTTCTAGAGCCTGGAAATCCAAATCAGGGTCCTGGCCGTATGGATTTCTTCCTTGTTGGTAGCCCCAGGCGTCCACTGGTTCCTGGGCTTGTAGATGACCCTCACATGGCATCTGTCTTCTCCGTGTGTGTCTCTGTGTTTATTCTGGTTTTTTTTTGAAACAAACATTTATTAAGCGTTCTAGGTGCTGCAGATGTGATAGTGAGCAAGGCACCACTGTGAGCAAAAGAATTGTGATAGTGAGCAAAACACAGAAATCACGAGTTTCTGCCCTCAGAGAGGTTATATTTTAATGGCGTGATATAAGATACAATCAATTATTCACACGAAGTGTGGTAAGTGAGATGAAGGAAATGGATATTCTGGTCTTTTTATAACTCAGAGGTGATTAGGTCTAGTATCAGCCCTCCACTGCTATGACCTTATTAACACAACAAAAGAAAAACCCTTGTTTCCTAGCAGGACCACATCCACAGATACAAGGACCAGGAATTCAACATATATTTTGGGGGGTGGGGGGAGGGCACAATTAAATTCGTAACACCCAGAGTAAGTAGTCCTGGTACAAAGGTATTCTACGGTATCTGAGGATCTGAAACGGCTTTGCAGAAAGGCATTCGGTGTCAGTGAAGGCTTCCTTAAGTGCTAATTACGGATTTTTTTTGCACTAGCGGGGCCTTTTTCCCCAAGGCACTCTGCACATTGCACCTCCACAGCAGCCCTTGGTGCAGATACCCCGACCTCAGAAAGGCAGAAAGACCGAAGTCTGAGTGTGGTTTTCCTGCAAGCCAAGATAGAAATTCTTACTGTTGCATCATCCCAAAGCTAGCTCAGTGTAAGAAATACGTTACTTTGCTTTTTGTGGGATCTAAGATTATGTTGGGGACCTCTTTCATTTCAATGAATGCCGTGCTTACTGCTTGTCAGGCATGGTACTGGCTCTGGGGGGACCCAGAGATAAAGAGCCCATCTCTGCCTAGCACTGTGTACCTGATGTCAGCACAGGCCAAGAATTAGCTTGAAATCAAGGTGACAGGATCCTGGCTCCCTGAACCCGCACCCTCCCAGAGAAACGTAATGAGAGCTGCAAATGAAAAACCACAGATGTAATTTAAAATTTTCTAGTAGCCACATTAAAAAAGGTAGAAACAGGTATATTTAATTGTAATGATGTATTTTATTTAATCCGATGTACCAAAAAAATCATTTCAACATGTAATCAATTAAAAATCAAATCAATTCAAAAAACATTGATGATGTATTTTGGGTACTGGTTTCTAGATCCAATGTGGATCTACTCTTTTCAGTATATCTCAATTCGGACTAGCCAAGTGCTGAACGGCCACATGTGACTCGTGGCTACTGTGCCAAGCTCTGGCCCTCAGATCCGGGATAAGAAATTCTGGGTCGGAAAAATTCATGTGTTCAGAAAAGATTCTTGGCAGTCTCCTCTGGTGACTTTGTGGTCACGCGGCATTCTGAAACTCAGGGAGAAAATCCGAGAAACAGGAAGGTTGCAAACACTGGCTTCCCAGGAAGCCCAGGGCTGTTTATTTTAGAGTCGCCACCCCTCCCTTCTGCAGGGGGCGGGGTCTTGGAGCCGGCAGGGCCGTGGGTCACGGGCTGCCACGTGTCAGCCACAGATCTGGTTGCACTTCAGGCCACGCTGGCCACGCTCTCGGCCGGGACGGCGTCCGGACGCGCACGAGCCGGTGCCACAGCGCCGCCCGCCGGCCGCGCGGCGTAACTGCAGGCTCAGCGCCTCCTGCCGCCCGCAGCCTCCTCACCGGCGCCACTAGCGGTCGAGGTCATGGGGAGCACGTACCCCGCTACTTTTTGTAATTCAGTGGATGGCCCCTTCTGCAGCGAGTTGATAACGAGCCTTGGAGCCCCATGCCTTCATTTCCGATGCTGCGGCCCGCAGGTCTGGGTAAGCCGGCAAGGTCGGCTTTTTTCCCCCCTTTTTCCTGTCGCGGTCCAGGCTTTTCTCTTCCGGGTTATTTCTATAGCATATTAAAAATGCCCATTATCTGCATTCTAGTAAGGCATAGCTTTTAATTCTTACAGAAGTAATGTTTCCACAAATCAGTTTTCATCTTGGAATCTGTATCCCCTATTTAAATGGCATGATTCAAAGAAACAGGAGGTGCACGCGTGGCCCCCCCCGCGAGGGTGTGTTGTAGGGAAAAAACATCACAAAGTTTAGTAAAGCAAAAAGAAAGTTTTATTCGGCATCTGTTCAAAAAGGCAAAAGTGGAAAATCGGACAAGCATGTTTCCAGAGCTAATGTCTGCCCAAATCCGAGGAAGTGTTACGGAATAGGCAAAAGTGGGAAAACGGACAAGCATGCCGCCATAGCCACATCTGAGTCCGAGGAACCCTAACAGAGTCCTCAGTGTATGTTAACGCTACAAAGGGGCAAAACCACTGAAAGCCTCACCTTTTCACAGACTGGCTAGAAACTGTGATCCTGCATTTTAAATTGTCTTCCTTAACAATCACTGGTACAGGTTTCAGTAAAGACGGTCAGGAAGGTCTTCACTGGTCCAACAAATGTTCTGTTCACTAAATGCTAGTAGAAAAAGATAAGAGTGGAAAGTCTTTTGTGTTCTGTTTGATTGGCTTTTGTGAAAGGTTCCCTAAAAGAGATTTTCCAAGATGATCTTAGCTATTGTCTTTATACCTCAGGGCTCAGTTGATTTTTCCTTGTGAGTCCAGCTCCAGCTGGGTCACATTGTCTATGCTCAAGGACAGGGAATAATGACCCCAGTGTTATTTTCTAGATCAGGTGGAACTCGCGACCCCTGGTTTGCAAGACCAGTGGTCTAACCACCGGGCTGTGGAGCTCACCGTTGGCCATAGGTGGTGTACTTGAGGCACGTTGAAAACAGCAATGCTTTAGCTGGCTGTCTGTAAGAGTAACTGACTGACCCTATTCATCCATCATCAATGGTAACTGTAAAGACTAAGAAATAAATGCCAGAGAGAAATGCTTACAACGTAAGTGGAAAGAACCCATATCTCAAAATCGTGTTAATTGTGACTAAGACACCAAATGGTAGCTACCCTGAGATATGGATACAGAAATGCCTGGAGGGGAAAATGCAAAAATGAAATTGTGTTCTGGTTATATTAAGGATCATACCTTTATGTCTTAAAAAATCCTTCCATCTTGTTTCTGATAGACCTTACAAGTTTGGTACGTATAGGTGAGTTATGGGGTTTGTGTTTGGGCCTAGTAAATTAAATAAGTTATTGGTTGAGTATGGATGAATTAATTGATTGATGCAACAAATATTATTGAGTGCCCATATAATGCTAGATATTGGAGATAGGGTGAATGAGTAAAGCTCTGTCCCTTCTCTTTTTTTAATGGGATTGGAATCAGGGACTATGTCTCATTCACTTTGGATTAATGAACCATTTACTGAAGGAACAGCTACTCCCCAGGGGGACACGAACAGTTAAGCGCTGGACTACTATCCCGAAGGTTGCCTGTTAGAACTCACCCAGACCCAGGGGCGCCTCAGAAGGAAGACCTGGCGATCTCCTTCTGAAAGGTCACAGCCTTGACAACCCTATGGAGCACAGTTGTACTCTGCACACACGGGGTCGCCATGAGTCAGAATCGACTCTATGACAAGTAACAATAACAACATTGAAGGAATGAAGTTATGACCCCGGCGTGATCTATGACCGAATGAAGCTCATACTCCCCCAGCGGTAGGCAGGTCTCTCTCCCTGACTTCCTGCAACTTTCTGCTCCCGTGTCACCTTCTCCTGACCCCCTGTTTGAAGCTGCACCATTCTTCTTATCCTTCCCTTTTCACCCCATACTAAACCAAACAAACCGGACCTGTGGCTATCAAGTCGATTCCGGCTCATAGCTATCCTATGGGACAGAACAGAACTACCCCATAAGGTTTCCAAGGCTGTAATCCACGGAAGCAGACTGCCACATCTTTCTCCTGCAGAGCAGCTGGTGGGTTCGAACCACTGACCTTTCAGTTTGCAGCTGAGCACTTAACCATTGCGCTTATCCTTTTTCTCATTTAGCTAATTTACTTATTATGGTTGTTACTCTTTATCTGTCTGTCCTGGTTAGAGTGACTGCTCTTTGAGGGCAGAGGTTTTTGTATTTTATTCCCTACTGTATTCCCAGCACTTAGTATAACGTCTAGCACATAGTAGATGCTCAGTAAACGTTTGATGATTGAATGAATGACATCTATGACGATGGTAATTTTGTAAGCTGGAAGAAAACAAGGAGATGTCATCTCATCGTTCATCCTTGTTTCCCATTCAGTGGCCTCTTCACCAAAGTTGGAGTTTTGCAGTCCTCTTGTGTTCACATGGCCTGTCTGGTTTTATCCTTGTCCCACTGCCTCTGTCCATTGCTCTGAGACTCACTGTCCTGATCGTGGGTTTCCTCACTCCTGTGCTCCCGGAGCCTCCAGGGCCTTCTCATTGTCCTCAGGATCAAGGCCACACTCCTCACTCAGCTTCATTTTTTGTATACAAACTCTTCCTTTCTCCCCAGTGAACCCAACAGGTAACCATCATTTCTCATCTCACATGGCTCTTTCTGCCTGAAACATGTCAGACTGATTAGAATGTCTCATGTCTTGCCAAGAGCCATCAAGAGCTGGCTTATTTTCCATCTCAGAGTTGATTTTGAGGAGGTCAGGCATTCGGTTAAGGTAGAACGAGGAATAGAACCTAGATTTCTCTCATCCTATGCCCTTGACCCCGTACTACTCTAGCAAGCAGATGCCGGCCAGGGCCTTTCCGCTGTTCCCCCTCCTACCCTTCAGTGTTAGTGAACTTGATCTCCAGGCAGGGGGAGGTGGGATGTGATAGAAAAATGGAACCTCTCCCCCTCTCAGTTCTAACTTCTGAACTGTATTTAAACTGTCTCTCCAGGAGAAAGGACATAAAGATGAAAGGACAAGATGAAAGAAAGATAAGGCGGGTGGACATTCTAGAAAGGCTTTAATTTCCTCATAAGCAGCATGGTGTTCAAAGGTCTGGGAGGCCTTTATGATTAATTTTATGTCTCTTCTTTCTTCTCCTTTTCCCCTCAGGGTCAAGCCCTAGCTCAAGCCATGTTTCACCACCTGTAAAATGGAGATGTTAATTTTGGCCCTCAGAGCATTCTTGGGGATTCAACACAATAATGAACTTGAACGTGCCAGTAAATTGTGAAGTGTCAGAAACAAACATGAAAGGGATTGTTCTTTATAGACAACCCTGAGGAGAGAAAGATTCCAGCTTCCTGCTTGGTGAGGAGGGAAGGCATCTGTCTTAGTTATCTAGTGCTGCTGTAACAGAAATACCACAAGTGGATGGCTTTAACAAACAGAAATTTATTCTCTCACAGTCTAGGAGGCTAGAAGTCTGAATTCAGGGTGCCAGCTCCAGGGGAAGGCTTTCTCTCTCTGTGGCCTCTGGGGGAATGTCATCAATCTTCCCTGATCCAGCAGTTTCTCAGCACAGGGACCGCGGGTCCAAAGGATGCGCTATTCTCTTGGCTCTTGTTTCTTGGTGGTATGAGGTCCCCCTGTCTCTCTGCTCGCTTCTCTCTTTTATATCTCTAAAGAGATTTACTTAAGACACGACCTAATCTTGTAAACTGAGTCCTGAATCGTTAACATAACTGCTGATAATCTCACCTCATTAACATCAGAAGGTAGGATTTACAACATATAGAAAATTACAGCAGATGACAAAATGGTGGACAGTCACACATTACTGGGAATGATGGCCCAGCCAAGTTGACACCCATTTTTCGGGGATGCGGTTCAATCCATGACAGCATCCCAGGGTCCAGTTTGGGTAGGAGGAGAGGTGGTGGAAAACAATAAATACCGGCCACATCTCTCGGCTGTTTTGTGCGTTAAGGGGACTTCTTCCTACTTTAAAGACGTTCTCTCTCTTGCTTTCAGTCTCTCCTTCCTCTTCATTTTCTGAATTCCCTGCAGCCCTGAGCCGCCATCTGAGGGTGAGGGAGAAGTGGGACAACCCCAGGGCCTGGCTCTCTCACCTGCTTGGAGCAGGGGCTCTCCAGCCCTCCTCGGAATCCCTCTCCAGCATCCTCCTCTCCCTGGGAGCAGACCTTATACTGTCCTGGCCTAAGTCAGACTCAGGGTCGGAGGCTGTAAGGGCCAGAGGGACCAGGACTTTATTTTGAAGACGAGGCTATAGGCTTCAGGAGGGAAAGAGACCTGCGTCAGATCGTGGAGTGAAATAGTAGCAGAAGCCACTTTTATATTATATTCTGGAAGGTGGTCAAAGAAAGTTAAAAACAAACAAACGGCACACACACACGCGCGCACACACGCACACACACACACACACGCACATACACACACACACAACCTAGCCAACCGACCAAACAAAAACAGGAAAGGGGCTTTCTGAAATTTTCCCAGGTTAAACTTAGGATCTTTAGTGGGGACCTGGGGTCAGGATAGGGAGGGAGGGTGGTGGGGAATCCTCCTTGGTTCTGGTACCCTCTCCAGAGCTAGAGTTACAGGGGGAAATGGGTCCTGGGCTGGCGGGGAGCAAACCCCAAAGCAAAGGACGCAAAGGGAAGGAGGAGAACCAGGTGAAGGGGCTGAGTTAGTGTAGGAGGGAGGAGGGAAGGAAGTAGGGGACACTGTTCATTTTAGCATAACAATCACAACACACGCTCCATAGGGAAGTGGCAGAAGTTAGGGAACGCTGTTTTGTGCTTCAGGAGATACACAGCCTACATCTGCTGAGGTACAGGAGATTAAAAATGAGCAAGATGTGTGTG